AAAACCATTGACTGATCCAATTGGAGCACATACTCATTGGGTCAAGTCGGTTGCCTTTTCGCCTGACAGCCAGCTCCTCGCTTCATGCTCTCTCGATTCCACCATCCGAGTCTGGGACAAGCAGAAGTGTCTTGCTACCCCCGAGAACTCTGACTGCTGGGCCGTGGATGAGGATGGCTGGGTTGTTGGCCACGACTCATCCCTACTTTTCTGGGTCCCGTCGGACCTACGACCGATGCTGAAGTGGCCGCAGAACGTTACTCTCATTCACCAGTTTGGTAGTTTCGAGCTCGACTTCACCAACGCAGCGCTCGGTTCAAGGTGGACCAAGTGCTGGAAGTCTGAATGAGGTTTCCGAGGTGTTTGATCAATGTTTCTGGCGCATACATCCTGGAATACTGATATTTTTCCTTTGCCGCTTAGTGCCCCCCTGCTGTCTGCCAAGTCGATAGATCCTCAATGTATTGGTATAAGTAACACCTAGATGGTGCGTTAAGGATAACCCGGGTGCAAAGCGACCGTATCTCCAAACTTGTATCCTTTAATTCTCAGTGTGACAGTGTTACTTATAATGGCTATGATTGAATGAACCTTGAAGGTTTTGTGCTTAGGAACGCACAAGTAGTTCGAGCCTGCAGTCCTCGTAAGAAAGGATGTATGCGCTTGAATCTTGAGCTAAGTTGCTATCACTCAGAAGTTCATTGGGAAAAAAACCCTGGCGAGTCATGAATGAGCGGTTCAGTTGACGCTGATTATGGTTTTTTCATGAGATAAAAGACCAAACCGAAAACGCTCGTCACTACGGAATGACGCGCCGTGGGTCAGGCGTTAAGCCAGAAGTAGTTCGCCGGAGACCCAAGTCTGTAACTGTAGCCAGCTTTTTGTATGTCTCAACTCTCATGCCAACGCTGCAAACACGCTCCTAGCCTGAGTTATTTCAGCGCTATATCACTAGAGTTACGCGCCGTGCTACGAGCCGCTTGTGAGCTTACGGCCCGCAGAACCGCAGTACTGGACACCGGGAGTCGAACGAAACCGAATTGGCTGACGTAATCGGCGTTAGCCTAAGTTTGTTCCTACCGATTTGTCTGCTAACCTACCGATGACCACAACACCCACCCCGACCATGAGCATATTCTCAACCACGCTCAGCGGCCATTCTAGATGCTTGGCGACATCTTCTATAACGACACAAACCTCATCAAGTATGTGCTCAATAATTCCAAAATGTGATGGAACTATACTCAGCCTAGGGTCATTCGGATGCGGTTGACGGCCTCTGGCACTTAGGATTCGGAGCTGCGAGTTGGCTGGGCGACTAGATGCAGGCCATTACGCGTCGATGGAAAACGTCACAACTAGTCACCTCTATTTCGGTGTCACAGCTGCGGTGATGGCGGTCTTATGGCGTTAGTAGTCTGTCTCGTATATTTCGGTGCCTACCGTCTTGACTTTGAAGACCCGCATTCGGGATGCCAAAGATTCTTGCTCGCACCTCTATGTTGCACGTGTCACTACGCCCCTTTAAATATCCCAATTTAGGTTGCTCGTGCTTTCCAATCTTCAGGTCTCAAGTGCTCTCCGTAGGCGTGTCTAGCCGTAATTCCACTATCACTTCTGCCAACGATCCAGCGGTCATCGAAATGGCTTTATGAATACCTCTTGCACAACTTCCATAACCCGACATCGTTTGACCTTGGACAAGTCACCTTCAATATGTCTTTTGCGGATTCGAAACAAACCCAACGTTCTGGTACGATACCCAATCCACCCTAGAGATAGGGATGCGAGATGGTGGGGATTATGATATTACAGTCTTGAATATACACAACCAAACTCTAGAGGCACACCCCTATTAAGTGTTTTAGCGAAGCCAAGAGATAAAATGTATGTATATGATAACATCTCGCTACTCCCACAATCATCTCTACTGAAATCCTTTCACTGCCTCGTGATAGGAGCGAATGCTTGGAAAACGAGCATTGTGTAACATGTGTAGCCGAAGCTAAACTATATATGTGAACCATGTGTTTTGTTGCAGTCCACGTTGTACCGTACGTGCATTAGTTGTACTGTTTCGACTTACCAGGACATAATGTATGTATTTAATCGTGCACTCGTGGGGGACAAGGCTTTACCGGGGATGGGTTCACTGATGTGCGATAGAAAAAATGATTTTGCTCGAAAAACAAACGCCTCGTGGCCATTCCGATGCCGCCGGCATTGCAATACGTCATCCAGGAACGTGTTTGCTGAAACACCCAGTTCAAAAATACAGATGGGCGGAGGCGAGGCGCAGTCGGCCCTCTCGGATCTTGTTCTTGTTCACGACCTCGTTCCTCTCACGACCTCTTCACGATGCGTTTTATGATTTCTGTAGGGTTTGCTTTCGCGTCGGTCACTATGGCGCTCAGTCTGCCTCGGCGGCCTTTGGTGGGAAGACAAGCTAATGATAATGTTGTTTATGTGACAGAGTGAGTAAATTTGAGGTGTATTGTAGGTTTGTTGAGCTGATGACCCTGTTGCGTTAGTCCTCAAACTTGTATGCCCCCAACTGATCCACTCGTTCCTTAATCCTGACACGCTATATCAGTCTGCATGATTGTACCACGTTATGCTCATACCAACGTCGGAGACTCCGAGTATCCCGTGCGTCTAAAAGTATAGCTAGCGTTCGACTATTGACGTTTGCGACTACAGGGCGGGATGCAAACGTACTGCTCGCCGAATGGACGTTTTGACAATTCATCGCAAGGAATACTGTCCATTGATTTTTGGCGAAATGTGAGAGCCGTTATTTGTGGTTTTTTTACGTAGCGTGACACCCATGACACTAGGTTGAGATGTCAACGGCGCCGGGCATAAATGGAGCACGCCGAGTCCAACGTAAGCATGCTTATGGACATCTCACCTCATGACTGAATTGACAATATTGCAATTGGGTTTTAGTTACTGGATGCATCAGACCTGAGACTTCGACCCAGCTAAATATTGGAGACGGCGGAGGACAGTACGACTCGAGTGGGGGAGACGGCGGGCTGGGTAATCCTCAAGGAAGCGTTTGTCTCGGGTGTGTTTAACTATGCTATTCACCTTGAGCCCGTCCCACTAACGATGCTTGATAACCAGGTATAATCACTATGTTGAACTAATTGAACCTGCTGGACAGCGAGCTTGTATACGGTGCTGTGATGATCCAGCGGATTGTGATGTTACGAAGGGTGAGTCGGTTTCGCATGGTGAGATTTCAATGAACTTATTGTCTTCCGCGACAGATACCCAAGGGTGCCAAACTGTTATTCCGGGCAACTACTTTGATTGCACTGGTTAACGTTTCGAGAGCGAGGATGTGTGTGGTTTCCGCGGCTCTAAAGCTTCCTGGACTGAAACCGGGGAGATTTTCGGTATAGGATTACTTATTCCGTGTTCCGTATTGTTTTTAAATTTCGATATATTTGGACTGGCCTTTTTTGCTGCTCGATGGTGGGCTTTATAAAAAGATTAATGCATTATTTACTACAGACTTTTCCCCCTGAATGAACCTCATCGCGACACACTGAGAACATTGTGCTTGTTGGCTCATGGCGAGTCGGTAACTGTATTTCGACTTTCGAAGTGTGTGTTGAGCTCTAGACTCGTAATACCCTCAGAGTGTCGCGGCGTAAACAACGGCAGGTCTCGTAGCCACGGGGCTTATGATGGGTGACCCTTGTGAGTAAATTATGAATCATCACACCGGCTGAACTAGACCACCACTCCTATAACACCTCGAACCTGGCTTTTACGCCTTCAAAACGTCTTAATGTATACCTGAAGACTCACTTATTTACGTTTAGGGCAATCTAGTTTAGGACAATCATGCTGAGTTCTCTAAGTCTCGCACAGTGTCCCTTCTACAGCACACCATTGTCTCGCAAAAACGTCTATGAACCTCGAACTGAATCACCTGAGCTTTGGTTTCGTCTGTTTTCTACTCTGAGAGTGTTAATCCAGCTGTCGACCCTTGGCTTTTCTTGATTTGGTTATGTGACATGGGTTCGCTGAGGCTGTTTTTACTTTACGCTCGCTGGTGAAGCAGAAAGTGACATATACTTTTCGTTTGTACCCACTAATACCTATCTGAGCGGGTTAGACCTTGGACTCTGTTAGCAGCCTTTTCGCCCACGGCCGTCACAATACTTATCGTTCGAGCGATATGTAGTTCTAGTAACCTAGGACTCTTAGGAGCGTATATCTTCCTCGTGGCAAAGCTCTAACATTCTCTAGACTCAGACGCATCTACACACCTACTGTAGTAGTCATAATTGTATTAACATGTAGCGATGCGTGAGGCCGTAAGTGTCAATAAAAAATGGGGTCTGTCACGTCACGAACGCCCCTTCGTTATTAAGGTCAAATTTCTGTCACACTTAGGAGCTTAAATTAAAAAGAGCGACTGTATCATAGATTTTATGTACAATAAGTCAATAAATGCACTACTCCGAGTCCAAATCCAAGTCGTTGTCACTAACATACTCATACAGTCCGTCATACCCAGCAATGTTGAACAGAAGTTGCTCACAAATATTGCATAAAACAGAAAGGTCAACTGCGTAATAGGTGGCATCCAGTCCACATGAGTAAGTGCTTCAAGTATGTCTGTTAGTAACTATTCTCATGTCACGTCACATCCAGGCTATGTTAATACAGATTGTGCAAAATTTTGTCACGCGTCGCAAGCACTGTTTCAGTATAATTACGAACACTACAGTATACACAAGGCACTCACACGGGCTTTGATTTCAGAAGTCTACTTGTCTACTTGTCTATCTAACCTCTCTCGTTCATTGGCGGAGATATAACGTTTGGACTACCTATGCGAAACAAGCTTTGGTCAGCGTACAAGTTTCGGCAACCAAAGTAGCGAATTTTTCTTATGATGTATCCAACGTCGGTTTGCCACACAGCACAGGCTGGTTCTACGCAACGGCCTGCAGAGCTGCTAGCAAAACAAAAAGATCTGGACACACAGGGGATCGAACCCTGGGCCGCCTCAAGTCGCGTGACATCATTACTCATGTGACTGCAAATGAGGCGTGATACCACTACACCATATGCCCTTGCCTCTTACGCATTGGTGCGCTCCTATGACCGGGTGAAGCATTGTCACGCTCATCTGACCATGATTATTGCCGAGAGCCGGATCCGGAGGTCGCTCGCCTCCAGTACCCGACCACAACCACCTCCTTAGCCTCGCGGTAACACAGCAGACTATGATGCTTTCCCAATCTATCAGACGACTTGCATATCCGACTCCACGACTCTTCCGAACTTTTGCAACTCCAGCTGGAGGATCTCATACGCTACTTTTCCTAGAGCACACCAACGGCAGTGTAGACGCAGCGTCGCTCTCGGCACTTACAGCCGCGAAACAGCTTAACGGCAAAGTCACGGCTCTAGTTGTTGGAGGTGAAGAAGGGGAGGTCCAAAAGGTTGTCGATGAAGCCAAAAAGTAATGTAGTATTGGTGGATCTCGATCTGAGCGGCTTGCTGACCATACTGCAGGCTCGATGGTGTCTCAAACGTTCTTTTTACAGCCTCTTCAACTTATAAAAACCTCCTTCCCGAACACCTCACACCCTTGCTAAAATCTTCCATACAATCTGGCTCCTACACGCACCTCGCAGCCGCCCACTCGACCTTGGCCAAATCCCTCCTCCCACGAGTCGCCGCACAACTCGACGTCCCAGCTGTATCAGACGTAACATCCGTCACTCCCTCGGAAGACGGTGCAACGACGTTCACCCGACCGATCTACGCGGGAAACGCGATCTCGACGGTCAAAGCCCCAGCCTCGCTCTCGCCCAAAATATTCACGGCACGCGCCACGGCCTTTGCCAAAGCCGCGTCCTCGGGTTCGGGCGTCGAGGCTAGCAAATTGGACGATACGCCTCCGGCCAAGGGGACGGAACACATCGAGACCAAGATTGCGCAATCGGATAGACCCGATCTGGCGGTCGCGGGCCGAGTCGTGTCTGGAGGACGAGCGTTGAAGGATGCGGAGACGTTTAAAAAGGTGATTGATCCGCTGGCGGACGTGTTGGGTGCTGCCGTTGGTGCGAGCCGGGCTGCTGTCGATGCGGGATATGTCGATAATTCGTTGCAGGTGAGCTATATAGTTGTGTTTTAGTTTAGGGCTGGTCTAATGGTTTGGGTGAATTAGGTCGGTCAAACGGGCAAGGTCGTTGCGCCAGAGTTGTACATCGCTGTCGGGATTAGTGGGGCGATTCAACATTTGGCTGGGATGAAGGACTCGAAGATGATTGTAGCTATCAACAAGGTACGCTTTCCCTTCGTCTATCAATTCCTTCACCATCCCAGCTCCCATATATCTACCCACTCTCTGATTTCTTCACATTTATTTTCATTTATTTTGATTTTTAACCATTTTCGATTCGCACGTGAATTTGTCTAACATGTCTTCGGCTCGGTCAGGATCCCGATGCGCCGATTCACCAGGTCGCAGATCTTGGCTACGTTGCGGACTTGTACGAAGCTGTTCCAGAGCTCGTTGAGAAGCTCAAGAAGTAGACTTCAGGATGAAGCGAGGGAGGGCGATGTATTTAGTGGTTTAATAAATTAGAGAAATGGTGTGTTGATATGCGGTTCGTCGCTGACTTAGGACGAATGGAATGAAGTGGAGGAAAATCGAGCTTGTGATGTTTCAACGATTTTAATACGTATTCGATTTATACTACGGCACAGTCAAACTCCGATCCGTCTATCCTCAATTGCTATACCTTCCTCATGCACAACAACCAATGACGCCCAGACTCCCAAACTTTACTCCTTAGTTCTGAGTAGCCTTGATAACAACCGGAATCACGCCTCCAGTTGGCAAAGAATACGGCCGATGACCGAGTACTCTCAACGCAGTATTGATCGCTCCGCTGTGAGCCGTAACAGAAATAACTGAGTTTTAACAGTTGATATTCAGATTCTACGCGAGTAAAACGATGGATGTGCTCACAGGTATCGTGTTTCGATAATAAACGACCGAATATGGTATCCAGCGCAGCTTTGAGTCGGATGTCTGCTTCTTGGTCTGTTTCGCGGTGGTCGGCGGTCCATAGTTCGTCCTAGGACAGTAAACGGATGGATGTGAGCAAGCCGGTTGATGAGGTTAGAGAGGCGAGGCTCACCTCTTCCGTAAACCCAGGTTCAATACAAAAATCAGAATAAGTTTTACGAATGTACTTCTTAGTGCGTCGTTTGTCGCAGGTATGCACACCAATAACCTCTCGTAGGCCCTAGTAAATATCCGAAGCTTTAAATCTTGTGTTAGCCGAAGAAAGTAGTTATTGAACACACCTCCATGACATATGGTTGCACAATATCGTGCCTACCCTTCACATCTAACAATACACCGGTAAATGTGATATCGAGGGTGGAGGCGGCTCGGGACATGGGTGATGAGAACAGTTTTGTTGGCTATGTTCGAACAACGAACCGTCAAAACATTGAACTGCCATGCAGGAGTGCAAGGACATCTGAGAACGTACCAGAGGGACAGGATCCTTCTTGGCCAACTCAGTCACCCATGTGTTGTGCGCGAGCTGAGCTTGTTGTTTGCCTAAATCCGTGAGTTCAGCATCGGCTGTAAAAGAAATCGTATCTGTTAGTTCCAACCTGAAAATAATATTTGAGAATTAGGCACGTACGACCCCATGTCATGTTTCCATCTCCGTTCAGCTTAGACCAATAATCGTCCCACGCTTCAGTTCCATAAAACGATTCGGCAACATTATCTATTTACGATGGAGGACAAAAAACAATGTTATGTGTTATTAACGCCAGATAAAAGACAATGACACTCACGCCATCCTTGACCATGCCGTCCAAACCAACAGACGGCATATTTCACATTTCTCGGTGCCTCGCTTTGCAACTTGGCTATACTGGCCTTGAAGTCTGACCAGTATGTCTCCGAAGTGTTGGCTATCAAACCAAAGGCGGGAGGGTTGGGACCAATCTTAGCAGGATCTGTAGTGATGTCGGTTTGGACGAAGTATCCGGGGACAACCTAGAAGGAATTGGTTGGACGAATAAGATCGATAAAAAGAATAGATGAAAAGATAATGATTACCTGGTAACTGAACGTCTCTCCTTTAAAATCATCCGAACTGGCCTGAGCTGATGCTGCCATCACAGCCAAAAGTCCTGCGAGTCGAGCGAAACCTAGCATGCTCAGCACAAAGCCCGTGGAGGAAGAAGCTTTCCTCTCGGCTCACTACTTAAGGGAACCGAAACTAGAATAAATATCAGACAATGCGACTTCTGGTTCTTTGCATGTGGTGGGAAGGCGCCTGAGGTGAACCCGCTGTCACGTGCGTTCTCTGATTGGCCAACCCTGGGCGCTTGCCAAGAAACGTGCTAGTCACATAGACTGCTTCGGAGTGAGACGATCATCAATGCATAATTCTTCAAACATCTTCTACAATTCAGGTGCTAGAGTCAATATGAGAGGGACCGCAGAGGAGAGATTTGTTTTCGGCGCCTGCCCTCTCCACTTGGGATACTACTCTTAACGCTTCCATGGCACTTCGTCCTCTTCGGGATAATCTTCTCCTGGCTTCTTCTCCATAGCCTCATCGAACTGAGCACTGACCTTAGTGAGTTCCTCGACACCTCTACTCGGCATGTCCGGATCGGCAAGCCCAAAGTTGACGAAAACCGGCAAGAGTGCGTATTGGAGATAATTGCACACGGCCTTCAACCCCTCCTTCTCGGCGGGGACATCCCCCCAAACTTCCAACGGCTTTTTGAGCGCGTCTCGAAGCTTTTCCACCTGAACGCCTTCATGATTAACGAGATAGGTCTCATTTGTACCTAAATCTAGCAGTGAGTATGCCGGTCAAGAACAGCAGAGTGGAATTCACCTGAGACGAGCTTAAGTTTGTCGCTTTGTAGAAGCTTAAAGGTCCCCTCCTGGATCCACTCCGCTGCTTTGAAAGGCAGTTCTACATTGGGGATGAATCTGAACTAGTTGGTTAATAAACAGAAGGGATTCTAAGTGTCTCAATTTTGCGTACGTGACATCTTCCTTCTTTTGGTTAAGTCGGTAAGTCTTCTCTCTGGATATGACAGATTTTTTCGTATGTGAGGCGCCAACCTTGATTAAGAACGCAGGGCCGGTCACATGTTTGAGATCAATAGGAAGCATTGCCTAGAACTAGGTTAATCACTCGTTCTAGACGTCGCTTGGTTGAACGCCTACCTTGAGATCAGCGTTGATAGTTTGTATCGCGAAGTAAACCGGCATGATTGAATAGCTCTAGAGATTGGAGGTGAAACAACTGCCAGGCTAGAAGTGACCAGAGGGCTGAAGTAGCTGAGTGTAAGCCTACGATCTTTTATACCGCGGCAAAGTATTTCATGAAAGCGCCCCGGGTGGGTTCTCTCCGACCTAACGTTGGAGTCCTAGAGTCTCAATCAGCGAAGCGTGCCTTCGGATTCGAGCAACCGTCGCGGGAAGCCCACACCGACGAACAGCCGTAGCGGGTACCCTCTGACCTCGGGAACCAATTGATCATAGACATACGGAGGAGAGCTTGCCGAGGCGGAATCGAGTCGCCCGTAGGCGCCAAAGTTGGACTACAAGTTCCGAGATAGCGTTATTATCCGATTTCGAACAGGAAAACAATGGTTGTGTTGTAGTGGTATTGTAGTCCCTTACGCATCGATAAAGCTATCAGTCGTTTGATAGGAGGCGTGGTCGGATTCTTTAGGGGTTTGAGCTGGTGCTGCCAAGTATAGTCAAGAATCCTGAGAGTCCAGCAGAACCTAGCATACTCAGTACAGAGTTTGTCGAAGGAAAATCTCTCACAGGAGCTTTTGGCTCATTGCTTGTGTAAGGATATTGGAGCCGGAATAATATCAAACGAGTCGGGTTCTGATTCTTCAATGCATGTGGTGGTCATCGGCAAACCCGCCCGGGTCACGTGCGTTCTCCGTTGGCTAACAGCGCCGGCGCTTGCGACAAAACGTGCACACTGAATCGTCAGCCAAACATTTTAGGCATCAGCTGCAACCTATACATCCAATAATATGGTGAAATGAG